TACTCAAATAATGCTGATAACGCTATTCATAGTAGTAAGAGACAGACATATCATGCTAGCTATAAGAAGAACAATGCGAATATTAACATTACGAGTCGTACTTTGCTTGTAGTAATATTGATAATAATCTTACTAGGAAGAGGAGGAGGAAGAGGAGGAGGAGGAGGAGGAGGAGGAGGAGCAGGAGGAGGAGGAGGACCTCAGACGGGCACCCCGTGGCGGGCCCCGCTCACAGCTCGGCCCCCGACCACCTGCCACGGACCCCCCTCGGCTGGGCCTACCGAGGCGGCTTGCAGGAAGAGGCTTTGGAGTCGGGAGAACCTGGCGGAGCCCCGTGCAGCGCGGCCGAGATCCGCGACCACTTGCGAACCCGACCCGCACGTGGTGTCGGAAACTGGAACGTAGACATTACCAGTGGCGCGTGTTGTTTCAATCCCAGGACGTTTTTGAGGGTCATGGACGACGTCGGGGTGGTGTGGTGTATACTTCTCCCCCGTTTTCCAAGGGAGACAGCGGAAAATGTATGCACAAGGATCCCATATACACCAGAATCCGCGTTCCTGTGCGAATTTCAGCGCAGGGTCGGAGAAAGCGTCGGTGTATAGAGCTCGTTGCCCTATGTTGAATCGATGCTGGGGTGTCGGACACCCCCGCGGGGGCTCACTTGGCTGCCGACATCCTCCACATCCTGAACTCCCGCCGTTTTGTTTGTTTTTTCTCAATAAAGGGAGCGGACCTGCAGGGGTAGGGCCTAGGTGGGCCCCGGAAGCGGCAGGGCCGCTTTTCACAGTTTCCGACTCGGTGGTTCCTGGAAACGGAAACCGTAAAGCACGGCAAAGGGGAAACGGCAACACAAACGGTTCCGGAATTGGAGCCTGAACTGGAATCGGCAAAGAAAAGTGCGACGGAACAGGATCAATTCCGCGTCGGAACATGCAATAGAAACGGCAAATCGGGGCCGATCAAAAATATGGCTTTGTCGTTTTAAGGGTAGGGCTCACATGTTGTCGCCTGTGGGAGGCGGGCATCACTTGGCAGAATTCGGGGATTTATTGATCTGGGTCAATCCAGACCCGGGCCAGTCAGGCTTGCAGGATCCGCCAAATTGCAGGATCCGCCAAAGTCCTGCAGGATCCTGCGGGATCCTGCACCCAAACCCGGGTCAGTGCAACCACGGCCCTGCAGGATCCGGCAAGACCCGTTGCTCTGACTGAACCCCCGTTGCATCGACCCCCGTTGCTTGAGCCCCGAAGAATCGCTACGAGAGGGCTCTTCTGCTGTGGCTGGAGCAGGCTGGGCCCGTGCATTGGAGCACTGGTCCACAGGCGGGGCCTGGAATGCCGAGCGGAGCTCGTCCTCAGCCACTGCCACAGGCCTTCGGCGCTGCCGAGCCCGCCCATCGGGTCGGACGCGAGGGGAGATTCGATTCGACTCGGTCACGCGCAGGAGGGGGGTTAGGGGGGAGGAGGCAAGGCTTCTTGGGAGCACCCCTGCCTCTTAGGAGGCGCGGGCCTTATCCCCAGACCCCCGACGTCATGAATTTTTGATGACGTCGGCCCCCAAAGGTCTCAACCCACTGCCCGGGACAGGTTTTTCGTCCTGAGTCGTTTTTTCACGGTCCCGAGGGCTGGTAAGGGCCCCCAGAGGCCGAAAATAGCGAAAAACCTCCCGTCGTGATGTTTTCATAGCTTGAGGGGGTCTGGGTCTGTAGATGTAGGGCCTGTGCCTTCTAAGACTCCTTCCAAGAGGCCTTTCCCCCCCCGGCCTCTAAACCTCCGGGTGCGCGCCTCGCCAGGCGATGCGAGCGAACCGAGCGCAGTCTGGCTTCGGCCGTGGGACGCGCGTGGGACCCAGACTTAGGCCGGGCATGTCCCCCGGCAGGCGGATTTTCGACGAGAAATATACAAATACCCCAAACATGATCACATTTAGCCAGAATTGATCGAAACATTGCCCCCTTTTTGTACAGCTAGTAGTATCATGATCAGTGCTGTTGTTGCTGCTGCTGTTGTTGCTGTTGTTGTTGTTGCTGCGGCTGTTGTTGTTGTAGTAGCAGTTGTAGTTGTAGTTGTAGTTGTAGTTGTAGTTGTAGTTGTAGTTGTAGTTGTATTTGTAGTAGTAGTAGTAGTAGTAGTAGTAGTAGTAGTAGTAGTAGTAGTAGTAGTAGTAGTAGTAGTAGTAGTTGTTGTTGTTGTGTTGTTGTTGTTGTTGTGTTGTTGTTGTTGTTGTTGTTGTTGTTGTTGTTGTTGTTGTTGTTGTTGTTGTTGTTGTTGTTGTTGTTGTTGTTGTTGTTGTTGTTGTTGTTGTTGTTGTTGTTGTTGTTGTTGTTGAACCTTAATGACTAAACAATGCTTATTGTTGGACCCCTTAAATCCGCTTTGGCGTTCACGCCTAGGCGCCGGCTGCATTTCCTCTGAAATTGAGGCTCACGCTCAGGCGTTTCGGGGGTGCGCCAAAACCGGCCCCCCAACAACAACAACGCTCCGGCTCGATACTTCCTCTTTTTTTCCCAACCATCCTGTGGTGTTGGGTCCTCGTTTTGAAGAGACGGTGCCCCGCGTTCCCGCCTCCTTCCTCCCTCCCTCCTCCCCCCTCCTCCCCCTCCCACACCCATTCTGGCACACCCCTCACACGTTTCGTGGCCCCATAGGGAGCTCCACCGAAGGCCCCTGTGGCTGCGTTCGCATGCGCCCACCGCACCCATTTCGGCACACCCCTCACACGTTTCGTGGCCCCATAGGGAGCCTCACCCAAGGCCCCCGTGGCTGCGTTCGCATGCGCCCACCGCACCCATTCGGCACACCCCTCACACGTTTCGTGGCCCCACAGGGAGCTCCACCGAAGGCCCCAGTGGCTGCGTTCACATGCGCCCACCGCACCCATTTCGGCACACCCCTCACACGTTTCGTGGCCCCATAGGGAGCTCACCCAAGGCCCCCGTGGCTGCGTTCGCATGCGCCCACCGCACCCAGTTCTGGCACACCCCTCACACGTTTCGTGGCCCCATAGGGAACTCCACCGAAGGCCCCAGTGGCTGCGTTCGCATGCGCCCACCGCACCCAGTTCGGCACACCCCTCACACGTTTCGTGGCCCCACAGGGAGCTCCACCGAAGGCCCCAGTGGCTGCGTTCGCATGCGCCCACCGCCCATTTCGGCACACCCCTCACACGTTTCGTGGCCCCATAGGGAGCCTCACCCAAGGCCCCCGTGGCTGCGTTCGCATGCGCCCACCGCACCCAGTTCGGCACACCCCTCACACGTTTCGTGGCCCCATAGGGAGCTCCACCGAAGGCCCCAGTGGCTGCGTTCGCATGCGCCCACCGGCACCCCTCACACGTTTCGTGGCCCCACAGGGAGCTCCACCGAAGGCCCAGTGGCTGCGTTCACATGCGCCCACCGCACCCATTTCGGCACACCCCTCACACGTTTCGTGGCCCCATAGGGAGCCTCACCCAAGGCCCCGTGGCTGCGTTCGCATGCGCGCGCACCCAGTTCGGCACACCCCTCACACGTTTCGTGGCCCCACAGGGAGCTCCACCGAAGGCCCCAGTGGCTGCGTTCGCATGCGCCCACCGCACCCATTTCGGCACACCCCTCACACGTTTCGTGGCCCCATAAGGAGCCTCACCCAAGGCCCCCGTGGTTGCGTTCGCATGCGCCCACCGCACCTAGTTCGGCACACCCCTCACACGTTTCGTGGCCCCACAGGGAGCTCCACCGAAGGCCCCAGTGGCTGCGTTCGCATGCGCCCACCGCACCCATTTCGGCACACCCCTCACACGCTTCTCCTCCTCAGGCTGCTCCTCGCTCACATCCTGATGAACCTGATCATCTTCGTCCTCCTCATTCTTTGATTCCTGCTGCTCCCAGCGTCCCTCCCTTCTCCCTACTTTCTCCCTCCCTTCCCTCTCTTCTGACAGGGTCATGAGGGGGCCGCCACGTCAGGTGAAAGAAGACCAGAACACATCCTCAGAGCCGCAGCTCACAAACTCCGAAATGTCGGCGCTTCGACCGGGCATCCAAGGTGAGACGACAGTAACGAACGCATTCACTCAGCCCAAACCTTTACAGAGCTCGCGATTAAATAACCGAGCAAGATCCTCAACCATCTCCTCCAGCGTATCCTCTTCGCCCTCTGGCTCCTGCTCATTTTTGTCCTTCTGATGCTCCTCCCCCCTCATCCTCCTCATGGTCCTCCTCCTCCTCCTCATCTCCCCCCTCCTCTTGCTATCGTCATCATCATCACCATCATCAGCAACCTCGTCCTCATCATCTCCATCGTTCTTCTTATGGTCTTCTTCCTCGCCCATCCCGTCGTCCATCCATCCATTGTTCCGTTCTTCGTTATCTCCCTCCCGACCCCCTCCCGTGACAGTGTCACGAGCGCAGCGCCACGACAGGTGAACAACACATCATACCATGTCTTCTGATCCGCAGGTCAGAAACTCCTAAGCTGCTCGCGATTAAAACAGGCCGCAAGGCATGCGATCAGCTTATGAAACTCGCGACACGATCACTCACATCATCATCCTCATCATCCCCCTCACCGTCCTCCATCTTCATCCTCATCCCTATGTTCCTGATCATGCTCCTCGTCGTTGTCCTCCTCCTTGCCCTCCTCCTCCTGCTCCTCAGCCTCCTCCTACTCCTCTTCCTCCTCACCCACCTCATCCTCGTCCTGATCATTCTCGTCCTCCCCTTACTGATCCTTGTCATCCTCCTCTTCCTATCCAGGTAATTTCCCTCCCTCCCCTGTTCTCTCTCCTCTCCTGGGGGGAGGTACGGGGGGCAACGGGCGGGTGGAGGGCGGGGGGGGGGCGGAGGGGGGTGGGGGGGGGGGGAGCGGGGACTAGATGGGGGTGGACAGGAGAGGAGGGGGTGGGGGGAGGGAGGGGAGGGGGAGGGAGGGAGCGGAGGCGCCGAGGGGAGGCCAGAGGGGGGAGGGGCGTGGATGCTCCCCGATCCCCGATCCTGCTCGATCCTCGCGCCGTGCCCCCCCGCAGGGGCGTACGGCTGCGGCGAGACGGCGCGGGCGTGGGAGGGGCACCTGCCGGGCGCTTCGGCCCTCTGGCGGGGGGGGGGGAGGGGAGGGCTGCGGGCAGGCCGCGGGGGGGGGAGGAGAGGCGACGACGAGGGAGGGGCGGCGGAGGGCGGGAGGGAAGGAAAGGAGGGAGGGAGGGAGGGAGGGAGGGAGGGAGGGAGGGAGGGAGGAATCAATGATGGTGGAAGACTGAAGGAAGGAAGGAAGGAAGGAAGGAAGGACGGAACGAGGAGGAGGAGGAGCAGAAGGAGGAGGCGGAGGAGGAGGCGGAGGAGGCGGATGAGGAGGAGGAGGAGGAGGAGGAGGTGGAGAAGGGACGGAGAGGAGGAGGTGCTAGGAGGGAAATCATGTGATGATGATATTGGTGGTGGTGGTGATGCTGATGCTGCTGATGCTGATGATGATAATGATGACGATGATGCTGATGCTGCTGATGATGCTGATGATGATGAAGATGATGAGGATGTTAAGGAGGAGGCGGACGAGGAGGAGGAGTATGAGGAGGTCGTGCCGCTGTTCGATCGTTTTCGCGGTTCCTTCTGTACCTCAGGAGGGGGGTGAGGAAAGGCAGGACATTGCCAGACTGTACGGCCAGTGACGGTTGTTTCCCATATGCGAGCAATGGTATGGAACTCCGCTGTGGGAGAGATACGTTCTGAAACGACTCGGAGGAATGTCCCGCAATTGACTAGACCTAGACAACAACCTGTATGCTCTTCGGCAAGATGAGAGTGAAAGCGACAGTGGGAGCAGAGTGCTATCACAATGCGTTGATGCAGGCATGTACCTCGAGGGAGGGCCACAGTAGCACAGTCCGCATGTGCCCCCCCCCCCCCCGCCCATGGCGGCACACCCCTCACACGTTTCATGGCCCCACAGGGAGCTCCACTCAAGTCCCTAGTGCCAAAGTCCACATGCGCTCCCCGCCCTCGGCCCCATACGCAGCTCTACCGAGGGCCCCCCAGTGGCAAAGTCAGCATGTGCCCCCCCGCCTATATTGAGATCAGTTTGAGTGAATTGTTCATCTGCCTACTGGGACTGGGCGGGTAACCAGCGAAGAGGAGTATGAGCGAACGGTCAGAACATGGGTAGGGGCAGCAAGACGACGCGGCGACATAACGCGTGAGTCGCTCACCATAGTTCCCCGCAGCATCGCGGCCTGGCGATTCCCAGCCGCCCACCCCATACAAGAGAGCTACATGAACATCAGCCAGCGTTGACTTCAACTAGATAGGAGGACAGGAGGAGGACGAGAGGAGGATGGGAGGAGGACGAAAGGAGGGTGGGAGCAGGACGGGAGGAGGACCGGAGGAGCAACATCAAGCAAGCGCAAGCAAGCAAGCGGACGCAAGCAAGCGCAAGCGAGGAATAACAAGCAAGCAAGAGCCAGCGATCAAGTGCAAGTAAGCAAAGGCAAGCAGGAGCAAGCAAGCGAGAGCAAGCACACACGAGCAAGCAAGCAAGTGCCCTTGAAAAAAAGGGTGGGGCGCCATTGGAAAGGGGGGGGCTAGGAGCGCTCAGAGGTGGTGCATAGGCATAGGCATGGGCATAGGCATAGGCATAGGCATTTGCATAGGCATAGGGGTAGGCGTAGGCATAGGAGTTAGGGGGGAGACATATGCATAGGCATGGGCAGAGGCATAGGAATTGGGGGGGCATACTAATTAGGGGAGGGGAACGTACCAATTAGTAGGGTTTGACTTAGAGCTCCTATAGGGCAAGCCCATTTGAAAAACACTTGTTAAGTGAATCTTCTCCGCTCTGAGCGTCTGGGTGAAGTTGGATCGGAACAATTGCCCGCATATTCAGCCCAGGGCGAACACGTAATTCATCGACACCAGCAATATAAGCGCACCATAATTTAGGATGCAGCGATCACGCCACGAATCTGGCATTACGGAAATATCTAGTTGCCTGCGGCAAGTCTCGCCTCCGTGCCAGCCCAGCATTTTGGGTGGGGACTGTTCGAGGGGGCATGAGAGGTCGTCACGTGTGACATCTCGTTTTCGGGCTCGTGATGAAAATCGTTTGGGCCGTCCTGGGGCTGTCCTGGCCTCCTATGATGCAGTCTTGAGGGTCCCTTGGGGACCTCTTGGGCCGTCTCGGGGCCCTCTTACGCCGGCTTGGGGCTCTCTTGGGCCGTCTTGAAGCCCTTGTGGTCGTATGAGGGGTGCCTGGGGGCCGTCGTGGGGCCGTTTTGGCGCAGTCTTTGGCCGTCGAAGGGCACTCGAAGGCTGTCTTGGGTTCCTCTTGGATGCCTCTTGAGCCATCGTGGAGTCATTTTGGGCCGTCTTGAGCTGACGGCAGCTCGACAAGGCGAGAACGCGACGGATCACTGATTTTGGCTTCTTCGGACCCTGTTGGAGGTCCTCTCGTGGCCCGTTTGGGCCCTCTTGGAGGCATCTTGGGCCGTCCTGAATCAACATTCGGCCGCCTTGGGGCCATCTTGGGCCGTCTTCGAGGCATCTCGAGCCATCGTGGTGTCCTTGGTTGCCTGCGCGGGCAGTCTTGGAAGCTCGGGGCGCATCTCCATCGCTTTGAACGAGGGGCCGCGGCTTGGGAGGACCTGGAGCGCTTGGGAGCAGCGCCTGGGAATGCGGGAAGTGCACGTTCCTCGAGCGGGTGCGCGTGGGATGAGGGGTATAAGGGTGAGGAGTGAGCAGCCGTGCGGGCAGTGCGCACTCCTCGAGCGGGCGCGCATCCGCTGCCATCGGGGACGTGCACCATCCTCGAGCGGGCACGCGCGGAAAGTGGGTTCAGGCATTAGTTGCCATGCCGGAAGTGCACCATCCTCGAGCGGGCACGTGTGGAACGGGGTTGAGGCATCAGCTGCCCTGCTGGAAGTGCACTGTCCTCGAGCGGAAACGAGGGAAATGGCCTCGGAAAGGAGGGGCGGTGCACGCCAGAGTCTGCGTCGACAGGGGGAAGTCCCCATAGGTAGACTTCGAAAGGTCCTACCAGCCAGACCTTGACATTCTGCCACGCCTCAACGTGCCAGGGGGCATGGTGGCGGATAAAAGTGTTTGCGGGGGAGTTTCTGTCCAAACAAGGCGGTTTAAAAGCCCAGTTGTGACTGTTGATTGAAGTCCCATTGTATTTTGTCGCAGGGGTGCACAAAAACGAGTTTTCCTCTTCCAGTTCGTGTTGGTGCACGCGCATCGCCGAGCGCAGCATATGCTGTAGAGTTTGCGTCTCGGTACGATCCACGCTTTGCCGTACCACGATGATGCCACACACCCGGGAGTTGCCCACAAGATTTGCTTATCGCTCGATGCGCCCGTTTCGGCAGTCGAAGCAATGACAAGAATCAGTGTTGGATTCGTCGTGCCCAGTGCGCAGTTATTCGGAACACACCGCTGCATGTTCGAAGTCCCCTCAACGTGGACGGGGGTGAAAGCCAGAACGAACATGTATTCATGTCTATGCCTTCATCCAGTTGCCTGCGGCAGACCCCGCCACAGTGTCTGTGCACCAGCGCAGCAGGGAGGGGGCTGAGTGTAGGAACAGCGCAATTCCGTCGAGCGGTCTGATAAGGACGGGTCGTGAACTCGACATCGTCCTTGTCCGCGTGTCGATGTCACACCCCGCGGCACTTTGACGAGATGTGTACTTGGGGAGGGTCGTGATCTCGACATCGTCTTCGTCCGCGCGGTAGGCAGGAGAGGAAAGGATACGGATGAGGATGAGGATGGTGATGAGGATGAGGATGATGATGCTGACGATCATGATGATGATGCTGATGCTGATGCTGATGCTGCTGCTGCTGCTGATGATGATGATGATGATGATGATGATGATGAGGAGGAGGAGGAGGAGGAGGAGGACCAGTGTAAACCCAAGACTCATCAACAGCGAAGCGCGAGGGTTCCAGGTCCTTTGAAACTGTGGAGGGCGGCCGATAGTACCGAGTCTTGCGGGGCACCTCAGAAGGGAGGGGGGGTAGCGGTCTGTGCTGCCGGAGGAGGACTGGTAGGTCCGAGCTCTGGTAGACCCGTAGGATTAGCTGGGCGAGTGCGCGGGCACAGCGGGGACAAAATGGCCAAGGAAGACGGGGTAGCAGCAGTGGGAGCAGGTCTCAAGCAGGATGACTGGTGTCGCCCTAACTCCCTCACCGGTCCCAACCTGTGGGGTGCTTGTGAGGGTGCTCATAGAGAGTGCTCGATAAGCACACTAAGCATCTCCCCGTGCGTCTCTCACAAGAAGTACCCTCCATAGGCTGCGGGTATCCTTCGGCATGGGGAGGAGGGAGGAAGGAAGGAAGGAAGGGTGGAGGAGGAGGAAGAGGAGGAGGAGGAGGTGGAGGCGGAGGATCGAGGTCAGGGAAGGCAGCGACGAGGTTTAGAATGATGAAGCTGAAGATGAATATGAATATTAACATTACGATGCATAGGATTGCGAATATGAAGATGAAGATGCATCTGATGATGATGATGATGATGCGGCTGATGATGAATATGGGTCTTAATATGAATGTGAACATGAATATAAATATGCAAATTAAGATGAAGATGATGATGCTGATGATGATGAAGATGATTCTGAACATGATGGTGATGATGATGATGATGCTCATTAGGATGATGATGATGCTCCTGATGATGATTATTATGATGATGATCCTGGTGCTGATGCTACTGATGATGATGCTGACGATGGTGGTGATGATGATACTGTTGCTGATGATGATGCTGATGATGATGATATTGATATTGATGGTGATGATGATATTGATATTGATGGTGATGATGTTGATGATCATGATGGCGATGATGGTGATGGTGATGATGATGATGATGATGATGATGATGGTGATGATGATGATGATGATGATGATGATGCTGATGATGATGATGATGATGATGATGATGATGATGATGATGATGATGATGATGATGATGATGATGATGATGATGATGATGATGATGATGATGATGCAGTGTAAACCCAAGACTCATCAACGATATTGGAATACAGCATCCCTCCAAGCTCCCTCGTCATAGGCCCCTACAATGGTTCGTTTCCACTGAGGGAACTGCCTCGTTGGGGGACAACCGTTTGAAGACCCTGAGGCGTGCCAGAACACCATTCTTGGGACTCCAACGCCACGGATCAACTTGATTGTTGCGTCTTGACGGTCCTGAGTCGTGCCAGACCACCATTACTGAGACGTCAACTCCGCGAATCAACGTAATTGTTGCGCCCTCGCAATCCTGAGTCCTTCGAAAATGCCGTTTCTGGGACGTTGACCATGGGAATCCTTGAATTTTGAAGATGCGCGGTGCGCTAAGGCCAGAGCCAGCCACATGTTGAAAACGGCCCGCCCTCAATCTGTGAAACTCTTGCACATGTTTAAAACGAACGTTCGCGGCGCTCAGGCGAGAGCGACATTTACAAAAAGGCCCGCCCTCAATCCGTGAGATCCCTGTAGTTTTTCAAAAGCAACATTTTGAAAGCCACCCGCCCTCCACTTGTGAAACTGTTGCAAATGTGCAAGCTTGAGGGCCATACATGGTGCGGAAGTCTCAGGCGAAAGGCCCAGCCCGCCCTTTCGACCGGCCTCGGGGTGCGACAGGGAGAAGTTATTGATAAGGAAAAGGACTGGATGAGGAGGAGGAGGAGGAGGAGGAGGACGGAGTTAGAAGAGGAAGAGGAGGAGGAGGAGTAGGAGGAGGAGGAGGAGGAGGAGGAGGAGGAGGAGGAGGAGGAGGAGGAGGAGGAGAAGGATGGAGGAGGAGGAGAGGAGGAGGAGGAGGAGGAGGAGGAGGTGGGAGGAGGAGGAGGAGGAGGGGAGGATGAGGAGGAGGAGAGGAGGAGGAGGGGAGGGAGGAGGAGGAGGCGGAGGAGGAGGAGGAGGAGGAGGAGGAGGAGGAGGAGGAGGAGGAGGAGGAGGAGGAGGAGGAGGAGGAGGAGAAGGATGGAGGAGGAGGAGGAGGAGGAGGAGGAGGAGGAGGAGGAGGAGGAGGAGGAGGAGGAGGAGGAGGAGGACGGAGGTGGACGGAGGAGAGATCAGGGGAGAGATCAGGGAAGGAGATCATGGGCTTGGGGACTGGCGCGCCGCACGGACGAAGTGGACACGCTGCCCGACAGCGAGTCGCAATGTGACAGCGGCCGCTGTGGGGCAGGCGACGTCGGCGCCGCGGCTGTGCGCGGCCCGAAGGCTGGGCAGGAGGGGCCCCGGGAGGGGTCGGCGGACAGGGCGTGGATTGACCAGGATGGGCCGCACGAGGGGTCCGGGGAGAGATTCCGAGAAGCTTCTGGTGACGAACCAACAACACACACCCATACCCATAGGAGGGTCGGAGAGGGCTATTGGTGCGTGCTGTCGGATGGGGGTCCCCGTTCGAACGGGAGCGTTCCCCAGGGTCCGACAACCCGCACCCATACCCATAGCCAGTCCTCCTCCCAACGACCCCCCTATGGGTATGGGTGTGTGTTGTTCGTTCGTCATTTGGTGGGTGTTTGTGGCTTCTGCTGCTGGGCCCGGGGAGGCTTCCCAGAGGCCTTCGGGGGTCATCCGTCGAGATGGGGGGGGGTGTCGGGCAGGCAGCGAGGACCAGGGGCGGCTCTTGCCGTGAGCTCTCCTCTCGGCCCCTCAGAAGTTGTGCTCTCGCTGCAGCGGGCCGCGTATCCGAGTTCCCGTAGGACCTCTGCGCAGAGAAGCGTGGCTCTTTCCGCGTCGCTGGCCGCAGTCTTGCATGAGCAGATGCGGTGCTCCCGACCAGGGACACGCGTTCCTGGGCCACGCGGCGGGCGCTGGCAGCCGCGCACCAGGAAGGGGCGCCGGCCAGGGGATAGGGAGGGCCGGCTGCAGCGGGGGTGGGAGGCACTGACACCAGGTTAGCCCTCAGACACGGGAGGGCGTCGGGAGTGGTCGAGCGGTTTTTGCGAGACCCGGGGTGGTCTGCAGCAGCTGCGCCCCGTCGAGAGCGTTCCGCGGGTGCGAGAAGCGTCCCGAGCGGCCGCAGGAAGCCCCAGTCAAGGCCCCAAGGCCGCCGGGGAGCCCCCCCATCGGGGGCAACGACAGTGGGGGCAGGGGTCTCAGGTTGTGGAGGACGATCAATGGAGAGGAAGCATGCTGCCAGATCATTTCCAGATGTCTAAAACATGTTCCAAACATGTCTGAAATATGTAAAAACATGTTTGAAACATGTTTGGAACATGTTTGACACATTGTAAACGCATTTTTATTTCAACGATCGGACTGTTAGAGTGTCCACTGTCGTGGCATCCACAAGGCTAAGGTCTCCCCCCGCACGCCCACTCCTCGCCGCTCGGGGCTCAGCTTTGCCCAGGACCCTGCGGTCTTCGCTGTCGCGAGCCTACCTCGCCGACGCCACGCCAACGTTTCCCTCCCCGCGCCGGTCCCTCCCCGTCGTTCCCCAGACGAGGAGCACCGCCGTCACCGCCGCCACCGCCGCTGCCATCATCGTCGTCAACGTCGTCGTCGTCGTCGTCGTCGTCGTCGTCGTCGTCGTCGTCGTCGCCCTCGCGGTGCGCGGGAGGTACACCTGCGGCGCCGTGCTCGGCGTGCTCGTGTACACGGTGTGGAGGAGGCCGTCCGCTGATCTCCGCCGACGCCGCCGCCGCTGTCGTCGCTGTAGCCGCCTCCGCCGCCGCCGTCGCCCCGTTGGCGTCGCCGGCGCTGCAGTCGCCGCGGCCGTCACATGTTCAGAGGAGGAAAAGGTACCAACACCTCTACCCTGTCCCTCGCCGCCACGGCTGTATTCGCGTCGAATTTCTGGTCAGAGCGCACCTCTGGAGAGGTCCGTGGAGTAGCGAAACCGGTACCTTTTTGTCCCTTCAACTGTCGGCGTCGCCACCGCCGCCAATAGAGGTTTTTCTGTGTTGCTCATTGCTCCGGTCAGGTTATGTTGTGTTTTTTTGTGCTTGCGGATGTTGTGTGCCTTTTTTTAGTTTTTTTGCGCCTTGGGAGGTTGAGGGATGAGGGCGTATTTTTTGCTTGTGAAGACTCCCCGACCACTTGTCCGATACGATCTATGTATATATATATATACACATGTCGCTGACACGCGTGAGAAAAAGTGCTAAATGCGCGCGTGCAAAACGCACAGTCGTCGGTTATGTTCTGTCGATGCCCCTAGTTGGCGCCTGCACTTCACAAGCGGAGATCCGCAGGCCATTCTGACGCACCCTGTTGTACATCTCTCCAATCTAGCGCCAAAATCCCTTAAATACAACAGAATCGTGGGCCGCGCAATTACCCGGAAAGCTATGACGTCGGAGGCCTTGGGATGAAGGGGAAGGGCTTGGAAGGGCAGACTCAATGGGTGCGGGCTTAGCGGTCGTTTTGGATTCGATATCTTTCATGTGTGTATATATATATCATACAGTATGGTATAATATGACACAGTAGAATTAAGTATCATATCGTATACTTCAGCATCACTACTTTATTGACATGCCACATGATATACACTATTAAACTATCATATATTTTGATATCATGTGGTACACAACTAACATGTCGTCTACTACGCACTATGATAAGTTAATGCAACCAAGGATTTTCATGATATTTTTCGTATGCTGCATCACATAGTGTATACTGTATCATATACAGCTCGCTATCCATAATATTCGAATGCAGTTTACTATCCACAATATGTATATACGCCATAAATCTCGATCGTGTTGTTTAAAAACATGCATGTCTCGCACAGTCGCGTAACAAGTAATGTAACACGATCGAATATTATATCATACCATGATATGATATCGCATCAGATAACATGACATTCTATAATATGAAATAGTATAGTTTATTATGTGATTCATTCGCATGAAATAGAATAATACAATATACAAGTTATATAAACAAATGCGCCCCCTGGGGAACGTCCCACACCTTCGGAACAGATGGGGGCAACTCCTGGTACCGCGTCCCTGGGCCTCCCTGAGAGGTCCCGAAACGCCCCAGGACAGCCCAAGACGCCCCCAAAGAGCCCCCAGAACGCGAAAGGACGGCCCAAGACGCTCCCAAGCAGCCCAAGAAAGCCTCCCCACGGCTCCCCAGGCTCCCAGGAGGCCTCCAAGGGGCCCCAACAGAGCTCCGAGAGGCGTCCCGGGAGCGCCCGACGAGGCCAAAATCTTTCTTTCATTTTTTTTTGAGATGTATGGATGTATGTATGTATGAATGTATGTATGTATGTATGTATGTATGTATGTATGTATGTATGTATGTATATATATACATAGTCATAGACACAAGACTTGAAGCTCGCTGCGCTTCGCTTTCAAGTCTTGGTGTAGTGCACTGAGTGCGAGGCGAGGGGGGTGGAGGACAAACGGGCTTATTGTGCCGAAGCGCAGCTATGTGTGGAGGCAAAGGGGGGCTGCGAGAAACGGCCCAGCACGCAGGGTGGTGGAAGAGGTTTGCGGGGTACATATATATATATATATATATACACAGGGTTCTAGCCTGTTCGCATTTTCGAGCTTCCAACGCTCCAGGAAGACGGCCGAAAAGACCGGCCCAAGACGGCCCAAGAGCGCCCCGATGCAGCCCAAGAGAGCCCCAAGATGGCTCGAAAAACCGCCCAACAGGGGGAACGCAAATCGACAATCCCGGCTTTCCGCTCCAAGAGGCCACCAGGAGGCCCCAGGAGTCCCCCAAATAGCCTGAAGAGGCCCCCCAGAGCGCCGAGGAGGCCTAAACATGGCCCCTAAGAGGCCCCAAAGTAGCACCCCAGCGTCCTCCAAACTGCTTCCCAAGAGTCCCCTGCACGCCTCTTAGGCCCCCCCCCCCGATTCTTGCGCAGTGCATGCCAGGAGGCCCCACCTGAAAACAAGTAATTCTAGACGCTTCGCTTATCCCCACCAGCCCATCCCGAAACGATGTCCAGGCGAGTTGAGGTGATCAGGGAAGTGCGGCAGCAAAGAGGAGGACGGCCGAACCCTGCAAAGGAGTGAGGAGGAGAAGGAGGAGGTGGATGGATGGATGGATGAGGGAGTGGGAAGACGGAGGATGAATAGGATGAGGAGGAGGCGGAGGAGGAGGAGGAGGAGGAGGAGGAGGAGGAGGAAGAGAAAGAGTAGGAGCAGGAAGTAGGAACAGGAGGAGGAGGAGGAGGAGGGCAAGCACAAGGGCCAGAGGTCTCTTGGATGCCTCTAGGAGCCTCTTGGAGTATCTCTTGGACGATTCTTGGGGGCCTCTTGGGACGTCTTGGGGGTCTCTTGGCGATCCTGGGGGGCTCTTCGGGGTCTTGGGTGCCTCGGGGGGGGGCCTCTTGGGGCCTCTGAGGGTCTTCTTGGGGGCCTTCAGGGGGCCTCTTGGGGGCCTCTTGGGGCCATCTTGGGGCCATCTTGGGACCTCTTGGGGCCTCCTGGGCGCTTCTTTGTGCCATCTTGGAGGAGATCGATCAAAGAAGAGCTGAGCGTTAATTAGCGTTGCCCCCCTCCAGGAGGCCAAAATGGGGCCAAAACCCTGCTAAAATCAATGATTTTGGCTTCCTCGCCGAGGCTGTTTTGGACGCTCTGACCGCTCCCCGCCCCTCCTGTCCAGGTCAGTGGGGAGGGGGTAGGGGGAGGGGTAAACCCCTCCCCGAAGGGGAAGAGGGAGGGGTGGAAGAGGAAACGCCCTAAACCACCGACGCCCAGAGGGCTGGTGGGATTACAGTGATTCTCTTTTTGTTCAAGTTCATCCCTAGCCCCATCAAGACTTCGGGGTCACATTGCAAAGATTGTTCGGGAATGCTGTTGAACTCTGTGACGCTGTCTTGGCACTCTCTTGGGTCGTCTTCGTGTCCTCTCGGCTGCCCCCGAAACCACCGTAAAAATCAAGATCCCATGTGTTCACCTGTCCAGCCTAGCTGGAACGTCAGCGCGCGCACGCGCCAAGAAAGAGACACAAGGGTTGACCTCCCAAAACCTGTCGCGCGCTTTGCCCCAAGGTGGCCAGAGGTTCTCGAGGCGCCCCCCAGATGCCTACGGAGATTCCCGAGAGGCTCCCAGGAGGCACCAAGAGCCCACCAAGAGGCCCCGAAAGACCTCCACAACGCCTCCAAAAAGGCACCGAGGGGCATTCCAACCAACAGACCATGGCCTGTATCCAGGAGACTTCTGTCCCACAGCCCAGGCATGGCAATTTGAACAAAAAATCGGGAATTCCACGAATTCATTGGTTTTTCTTTTTTTCAAATTTAATCCTTGTTTATTTTTGCACAGTGGGCCATAGTTCATGCCCCTTCGTGGGCCATAAATCATCGAACACCCAAAGCAAACTTATGATTTGCTAGTTTCCGCATTTCCCGTTCTATACGCTTCCCAGGCTTTCGCACGGACTCCATGAAGGTCGTTAGATGCACAAGGCGTTTCAACCATTGCGATTCCATGCGTTAGCTTGTCGAACCTAGCTAGAACTTGAACGCGCGCGAAGCGCGCGCGATGATTATACTATATATGTTTATATGTAGGTATATCGACATGCATGTATGTATGTACGCATGCATGCATGCATGCATGCATGCATGTAGATATGTATGCATGCATGATGGATGCATGTATGTATACACGTATGGGTGTACATATGTGTATCTGTATGTTTGTATGTATGCATGTATGTATGCATGCATGCATGCATGCATGTATATACGTATGTACGTATACATGTATTCATGCATTTATTTATGTATGTATATATGGGTGTAGCTGTGGATGTCTGTATGCATGAAATTATTACTGTATGTATGTATGCATGCAGGTCTGTAGGTAGGTCGGTCGGAAGGTAGGTACGTATGCATGTAGGTACTTATGCATGCATGTATGTATGTATGCATGTATGTCTGTATGTGTGTAGGTATGTATGTATGTATGTATGTATGTATGTATGTATGTATGTATGTATGTATGTATGTATGTATGTATGTATGTATGCATTCACGCATGCATGCGATGCATTTATGCATCTATGTATGTATGCAAGCATACATACATGCATGCATGTATGCATGCACGCATGCATGCATGTATACATGTATACATGTATGCGGTGTTATGTGTTATAGTATGGTGTTATGTACTGTTATGCTACAGTATACGAAGATATAGTTTGGTGTGTAAGGTTATGCTATGTTAGGTATGTATGTATATGTATGTATGTATAGAATGTACGTATGTATGCATGCAGGCACTACATGTCTGTACACATGTGCATGCTTGACTGTATGGCTAAATGCCTGTGTGTACATATGTATGTATGTGTGTGTATGTTTGCATGTTTGTATTTTCATATATGTGTAGTTAATGGTATAGCTTTGCATGCACATGACCTATATCTACGCTATGATTGTGGTTCGCTACGCGGCGAGACGGACTGAGAGGAGGCCTACGCTGGCGATGGCGATGATGACGGTTATGCTGATGATGATGATGATGATGATGATGATGCTGATGGTGCTGAGGATGATGATGCTGATGCCGCTGCTGCTCGTGATGATGATACGGGAGCTGGTGATGACGCTGATGATGTTGGTGACGATGACGGTGGTGCTGATGATGGTGGTGATGCTGATGTCAGTTGTGATGACGATGACGATGAGGATGATGCTGCTGATGATGATGCTGATAATGGTGCTGATGCTGATGTGGATGATGCTGATGCTGATGACGATGCCGATGCTGTTGATGAAGTTGCTGCTGATAATGATTACGATGATGATGATGCTGATGTTGATGATACTGCTGCTGCCGATGTTGACGATGTTGATGACGTGATCATGCTGATAATGATGATGCTGCTGATGATATCGCTGATTATGTTGATGATGATGCTGACGGTGATGCTGCTTCTGATGATGAGGATGCTGCTGCTGCTGCTGCTGATGATGATGATGATGATGATGATGATGATGATGATGACGGTGATGATGCTGGCGGTGGTGGTGATGATGCTGCTGCTGATGTTGATGCTGATGCTGCTGCTTACGATGATGCTGGTGATGATTCTGATTTTGATGCTGATGATGCTGCTGATGATGATGCTCATTATACTGATATTGCCGACGATGATGGTGATGCTGATACTGATGATGGTGATGCTGATGATGATGAGCATGATGATGATGCTGCTGATGATGATGCCGATGCTGCTGATGCCGACGACGATGATGATGCTGCTGATGATGATGCTGCTGCTGCTGATGATGCCGACGCTGGTGATGATGCTGATGCTGATGCTGATGCTGCTGATGATGATGCTGATGATGATGATGATGCTGATTATTCTGATGATGCTGCTGCTGATGATGCTGATGCGGATGATGATGATTGAAGGAGGAGTCGCAGGATGCGGAGGAGGAGGACGAGGATGATGATGAGCCGGGGGGGGGGCTGAAGATGAGGAGGAGGTGGAGGAGGAGGAGTAGGATGAGGATGGGGATAAGGATAAGTAGATGATAATGATAATGATGATGATGATGATGATGCTGATGATGATGATGATGATGATGATGATGACGATGCTGATGCTGATGACGATGTTGATGCTGATGATGATGCTGTTGCTGATGATGTTGATGGTGATGATGATGATGCTGCTGATGATGATGATACTGATCATGACGATGATGATGATGATGCTGATGCTGATGATGATGATGATGATGCTGCTGATGATGATGATGATGATTATGATGTTGGTGATGATGCTGCTGCTAATGATGATGATGATGATGGTGATGATGGTGCTGATGATGATGATGACGATGATGACGACGATGATGATGATGACGATGATGATGATGCTGATGATGATGATGATGCTGATGATGATGATGATGATGATGATTATGATGATGATGATGATGATGATGATGATGATGATGATGATGATGATGATGCTGATGATGGTGGTGGTGGTGATGATGATGATGATGATGATGCTGACGACGACCACGATGATGATGATGATGATGATGATGATGATGATGATGATGATGATGATGATGATGATGATGATGATGATGATGATGATGCTGATGATGATGATGATGATGATGATGATGATGATGATGATGATGATGATGATGATGATGATGATGATGATGATGTTGATGCTGATGACGATGATGATTAGGAGGAGGAGGAGGAGGAGGAGGAGGAGGAGGAGTATAAGAAGAAGAGGGAGAAGAGGAAGACGAGGAAGAAGAAGACGAAAACGAATAATGATAATAATAACAACAATAAGACGACTAATAATAATAATAATAATATTAATAATAATACTAATAACAATACTACTAATGATAATAATGATAATAATAATACTAATAATAATAGGCAGAAGAATAATAATAAGCATAAGACGAAGAAGACTAAGACGAAGCAGAAGACGAATAATAATACGACGAATAAGAAGAATGATAAACAGACACATAATAAGAAGAATAAGGACAATAATAATACGAATGCTAAGAATAATAACGAGAAGACTAATACTGATACTAATAATAATAATCATAATATTAATAATATCAATAATACGAATAATACTAATAATAAGAAGACGAATAATAACATTAATAAGAAGACTAAGACGAATACTAATAATAAGACGAATAATAATAATACTTGTTTATAATAAGCAGAATAATATGAATACGAACACTAATAATATAATACGAAAAGGAGGAGGAGGAGGAGGAGGCGGATGAGGAGGAGGGGGGGAGGCGGCGGAGGAGTAGGGAGAGGAGGAGGAGGAGGAGTAGGAGGAGGAGGAGGAGGAGGAGGAGGCGGAGGGGGAGGATACGGAGGACAAAGGAGGATGAGAACGAGGAGGAGGAGGAGGCGGAGGGGAGGGAGGAGGAGGAGGAGGAGCGGAGGCCGAGGATGAGGAGGGAGAGAGGAGTAGGATGAGGCGGCGGACGAGACGGTGGGCGGAGGCGGAGGCGGCGGAGGAGGAGGAGGAGGAGAGGAGAGAGGAGGGGAGGAGGAGGGGAGGAAGATGAGGAGGAAAGAGGAGGAGGAGGAGACGGATGATGATGATGAGAGGAGAGGAGGAAGAGGACAGGGAGGAAGAGGAGGAGGGGGAGGAGGAGGAGGAGAGGAGGAGGAGAGGAGAGGAGGGAGGAGGAGGAGGAGGAAGCGGAGGAGGCGGAGGAGGAGGAGGAGGAGGCGGAGGAGGAGGAGGAGGAACATGAGGAGGATGAGGAGGCGGAGTATGAGGAGGCGGAGCAGGAGGAGGAGGAGCAGGAGGAGGGAGCTCAGGAGGAGGAGGAGGAGGAGGAGGAGGAGGAGAAGGAGAATGATGAGGGAGCAAGATGCATGGATGAAGGACGAGAATGAGGAGGAGGAGGAGGAGGATGAGGCGGAGGCGGAGGAACAATGGGGGAGAGGCGGACGAGGATGCGACACGAGGGGCAGCCGCTGCAGCAACAACGCATGCGACGGCAGCGGTGCGCAGGCCGCTTCTCGCCGCGCTGGGCCCGCTGTGCGGCGGACTGCTGGCGAGCGCCTTCTTCTTCCTCCTGGCCGCCTCTCGTCGCTCCTCCCTGCTCACCTCCTCCTCGTTCCCCCTCCCCCTCCTCCTCCGCATGCTCCTCCCCTCTTCCTCACTCG